TTTCATAGAGACATCCTCAGCAATAGACCCAGTTGTCTATTCCAGTTCTAGTCTGCAGTCTAGCTTCACTAAGTCTGTGCTCTCAAACCACTATCAAATATTGTTACAGCATCAGGAGGAGGGGGGGTTCCTTTTCTTTTCCTAACTATTCATCATTGACCCAGTACTGTACAACTGATCCTATCACTTGATGTGTTTCACCTACATCAGTGTTTCATATCTATCACATTTCACCTATATCATGTTTCACCTACATTGTGTTTCACCTCTGTCATATTTCACCTTTATCACTGATACAACCCAGTGAAACTGTTTCATGTTCAACACTGATCCAACTCAGTGTTTCATACTTATAAAACTCTATTCATCATACTCTATTTAAGTAGCACTGCTTGCACTACTGTACTTTAGTTTTGTCCTCTTGTCCTACCATACCTCAAAGGGACATCCTCAGTAATAGACCCAGCTGTCTATTCCAGTTCTAGTCTGCACTCTCAAACCGCTATCAGCTATAGCAGCTCTGTCTACTCAGTCTAGTTTCAAGTACAGTGTGTCAGCCTTACGCGCAACAGTGTCAGTTCCAGTTGAACTCCTGATCCTCAGTTGTTAGGTCCCTTAACATTAGGACAAAACTCCCCTAGGATCACTAGTTCCTGGTCGCAGCAAGCCACAGTGGCTTCTACAGCAGTAGGACAACCAGCAGTAGTAACGAGGTCCAAGCAAAGCAACTCCTTTGCTTCAATAAGATCCATGCCTATAGCAGGAACAAGAAAACCAATCAGTGGTTTAACAGATCTTCTTGGCAGTATTGTGCTGATTCATTGTGTCCAAATAGGAAAAGAGATAAGACTATCCCTAATGCAACAGCACTCCTAGCTCCTATTGGAAGCAAAGACAACTGTCACTCAGTAGTACCCCCACTAGCAGAGAAGTCCTCTCCTACACCATCATATCTCACCCCCACTGTGGCATCATCTAGCAGAAGCATAGCAGCTCCCACACCATGCACATCCCCACTCCAGTTACCCATCAAACCCCTGCCGAGTGGATCAACAAGCACTAGCCCCACAGTTAGACTGTTAAGGGACCTGACAACTGAGGATCAGGAGTTCCACTTAAGAATACTA